GTAAAAAACGGTAAAAAAGAAAAACCCTTGAATGTGTAGGTGTGTCCAAATTTTTGACTGGTTAACTATATATATATATATATATATATATTATGGGGGATTGGAAATGATGCAGACAATTACATTGATGGAAGCTACAATCTATCTGCAATATTAAAGCTGATCTGACTTAGCGACGCCACACCAAAGTGGGATATCCATCATGGCAGTTTTCATTGACGGAGAGTGTGTGTGTGTGTGTGTGTGTGTCTGTTAGTCGCTATAGTCATGGAGTATTGTATTATACTATATTTATTTGAGCATTTTGTTTGCAGTTGGGGGACACTGATAATGCTGACTTTGAGGCCATATCCAGTTCAATTCTCTCTGTCTCCCATCAAGGTCAGTAAAATGGGTGATTATTTATGTATGAAATGGGGGTGCAGAAGGCAATTGCTGGAGAGGTTCCCTTTGTGACATAACAGGAGGCTGTAAAGCCAGCAATGGTGCCTGCCTAATGATGAGATGTAGGGCAGAAATGTACAATATAAAGTAATTTTGAATGGTGTTTGACTTGATTAACCAATAGTTTTCAATGTGATTCATAAGTAGGTAGCTGTATTCAGAATGAATCATAAACAACATTTGTTTGAAATCCCCTTTATTATGACAAAAAGGTTAGGCAACTGCTTATGAAATTAGACTACAGATGTAGGATCTTAATTTGAGCCAGTTTGCTATAGCAGGAAAATAATCCTGCAGCAACAGGAAATGTGAATTATTATGTGTATAATTAATGGACAATTCTGTAGGGGTTGATACATCGAGGGAAAAGCCTTTTTAAATCTCCTGCATTGCAGGAAGGTTCTGCTGCAACAGGGTGATAAAATGAAGATCCTACATCTGTATGACATCTGGGTACTTCGGAGGTGTGACGCCCCCTTGTGCGACATTTGTTGATTGGTCTTTGTTTGAAGTACCCATTGTCATCTTTTGTGATCAGGTATTTGTATAAATACATTTAATCAATGAACATACACAACATCATTTACAAAACCCCTGCAATTCACAACACCTGTTAATCACATAGATTGCATCAGTCATTTCATGCTATCATATGAACCTTTATTGATTTTTGATCGTCTTTATTCAATGTTTCTTGTTTTAGTACAATATGTTCACTACAGGAATTTACTACTCAGATGAATGAGAAGCAATGCAGAAACTACTTAATGACAACAATCGTCATCTTCATGCCATTATTTATGAATCTTAAGATGCCAACATCCCTATTCCCGGTCATCCAGTGCCATCCCCTCATTCAGCTTTGTACTTTATCTTTTCCCTCTGACATTTGTTGCAGTCTAAAAACCCTCTCAGACAGGTATGGTTAAGTTCAGTTGTTACTCAAAGTTCTAAATGTAACGTGAAATTGCACTTGAAAACAAGGATGTAAAGGAGTGAGTGAGCAATGGGTTGTTTCTAATGGTTTTGAAGAATATCCCCGTTTATTGTTCACCTTGTGAAGTGTATTGTTCTAATGATATGATACATACTGTATCAACTTTTTAAAGTTACATTTCACTGTATCCTTCGCAGCACACACATTATAGGTTTCAAGAAATGGCAATAATACAATTGTTTACTGCAATCTTGAGCAGGGTTCTTTGGAGGCCCTAGACTAGAGAGAAGTTTTCAGTGTGATTTGTGAAGCATATTGTAAATCTCAACTGTGATCCTAGAGCAGATTTTTTTATTCATGTTATCTTTCCATACAATCAAATAGCATGTGAACTATTTATATGATTTAAACATGGGTTTTTGAAAGAAAGTAATTTGAAATTCACCCCGTTTCTATGAGCTTATTTTATTGGCCAAACCAAGGGGGATTAAGTTGTTGCAGCCCTTTCAGGAGGTACCTCAAGTTAAGAATTAGAAATAAAATAGACTGAACATATTAACAGATGTAAAATAAGCAATATAGTTAATATGCAACATAAGTGAGTACTATTACATTTACATTTTAGTCATTTAGCAGACTCTCTTATCCAGAGCGACTTACAGTTAGTGAGTGCATACATTTTCATACTTATAGTGAAAATATAATGTAAACAACAGTATCCCACCTGATTTTGAGCCTCCAACTCAACATGTCTGTGTGGCTGGCTGCACTGACTTCAGATAAGGCTTTTTATGAGAAGGTAACATGTAGCCTATGACAGCTCCCCAAATTCCTTTTGGGTCAATCGATTATCTCTGTGTCGGCAACATTTTTATCCAATTCAATGCAATTAACTGTTTGAGTTTCCTGTCTGAGCTTTGGTGCGGAGAGGCTTTTTGTAATTGAGGCGTGGGGGGCAGCTAGGTGGCAGAGGTCCACAGGACTGATGGTACTTGGTGCTCCGAAAAGAGAGAACATGGAAGTCTGGATCCTTGAGGTGAGGCAGAGAACTGTTATCCCTCGAAGAGCTCAAGGTCTCCGATTTAGAGCGAGGGCCGAGGACAATAGAGGGACATGTCTTTGGGGTGAGAGTTGTCATGGTTCGGCTCAGAACTCTGGTCTTACCAGAGCCCAGTAAGGGTGCTGCTGGAGACTTCTTCTTCTTCTCAAGACTTCTGGTCTCTGACTGCTCTGCTTGATACATCCGCTGGAGAATATTGTGGGAGTATGTTTGCCTGTTCTGCACCTTGGACTCAAGACCCTTCAGAGCCTGGTCTGTGTAGGCTTGCATTTCTATCCACAGTTGGGTGATCTGCTCTTTAAACTCATCCCTCAGTGCCTCTTTACTGGCCTCCAGCTCCTGTTGAAAAAACGCTATAAGCTCCTCCCTTTTGACATCCATCTCACCTGTACACTTGTCTTCCAAAATCTCTGCACCTGCCTTCTCTGTGTTATTGGGGCTGTTCACCTTTGCCATCTCCAGCTCTCTGCTTTTGACCATCTGAACTAGTTCCAGAATGCCATTCCTTGGGACGTTCATGCCCACCTGTGATTTGACCTGCTTGCGCACCTGCTGGAAAACAGACTGCATCTTTGCTTGAGTTGTCCTCTCTGCAGGGATGCAGTCCTCCACGCTTTCGTCACTGAGACTGACAGAATTAATCAGGAGAGAGATGGGTTGAGAAACGTCCACTGCTTTGTCAAGAGACTCTTCTCCATCCTGTTCTCCTGGTGTCCCCGCATCCAGTTGCTGTGGTGGTTTATATAAAGATAACTCACTCATTGTTATTCCTCAACTTCGTGCTTGGTCCGTGCTGCTGTATTGTTCTTCTGCACTGAGTAGTGATCTGTAAACTCTATGACTATACACTGTTCTGTAAGCCCTGTGACTAGGAGGGTCTTAATTGCCTGAGGTGTTGCTTCTTTCCCCTAAGGGTGCTATTTGTCATGGGAATACACTGCAATCTGCCTCATATTCAGTTATATGAATAGTTCTTACAAACCTTTTTTCACCGGCCTTTGTGTTTAAAGTGAACAATCACTTTTGTATTTTCTAATAGTTTGGATACTTTAGGCTCAGTGGTAATAACAGCATTCGTAACACATTCTATATGATAACTATTCTCTGTCTCATGTAACTATTTCATGCCCAATTGCCTCATTCTGACTTGGGTTTTTGTAAATGGTGCAAGCCAATTATCCCAAGCTATCAAACTGATGTAAGTATTTGTTTTTACTAAGCTGCCTGAATTGAACATATTTGGATTATGTATTTGTATTATGTTGTTATATATCATATGTGAATTAGACAATAATCTAATGGTTGTGCCTTTTCTGGATCAGTTGAGTTACAAAATTGAAAAAGCAGAAATCAGTAGGACTAGTGTCTAGACCATGAATAATCATGCTTTATTTTAATATACAGAATGTAAAGATCAACCATCTACCACTCTAACATCACACTGTTGTGTAAGCAGCACCGTCTTCATTTACTGTCTCTAATTGCATCTCTTGACAGCAAAAGGCCTCCTGGTAACAGTGAGATAAACAAACCCCATCAGGGACAGTTGCAGAGGCAGGGTGTCAAATGCTCATTACTGTGACATTGCACTTTCATTAGTCTGTGGTGCTAAAAGAGAATTGATAGAACAATATCTGTTCTACAAACAGTATCTGTGTTTTACAGAATATCTGGGTACATATTGTTACACGAGAGAGCTTTCATGTGATAATCTTGCATGTTAAAGTGTCACTTATTTTCTAGGAGCTGAGTCCTATGAATACAGGGGGTCAGTCAGTGTAATGACCCTGTGTTTGAGGAATATTACAGGGTTATGAAATGCATTGCCTTCGTTGATGTACTTAATCCTATTCATTCCCATTGGGACATAAGGACACACACAAAAATATCTAATGATCACTATGACAAGGTGCAACCTCTTGTTGTGTTGATGCTGTTGAGGCTATCAAACTTAAGCCGCTCAAAATCTAAGAAGCAATGAATAGCTCGAGAGGTGTCTCTTTCTGCAGTACAATCTTTCAAATGTCTTCTTCTTTAGGAATAATTCGCTTTTCGGCAGCCTTTCTGTTTCATTTCCACACTAGGGATACATGCTTTCCCCATTTATGTAGGAATTTAACCAATCTATTGACATCACTCTCTTAAGACACAGACTACTAGTTCAATTGAGGAAAAGAGCTCTAGTGTTGTAGTGTATCATATTCACTACTATGTAAATCAGTTGTGAGGGCTGTCATTATTGGCACATTGGGCAAAAGTACATCAGGCAACATTGTCATTCACACAACAATAGATCAATGAAACATCTCTAAAATAACCATGTTCATACAAATGTTGATGATAAAGGATTTGTAAAGAATGATACAGAAGGTATAAAACGTTTTAGTCATACATTAACAGATTACTAATTATGAAGAGGGGGAGGGGGGACTATTGAAGCCTACCAATAGTTTGTTTCTGCAATGTCAAAATTGTGGCTGACTACTCCATACATATGTCCCATTGAACAGCCAATAGGAAACCTGCATGAGTGAACCTCCTCTTGAGACTAAATACAAACACATGGCCTGACTGTAGAAAGGATTGAGTGCATTATGTCTGTCTTTGCATAGTTTCAGTTTATAAATAAATAAATAAGAATTTAGTTTTTAATATACATTTTCCGGTATTTGAGAAGAGAAGGTAAGTGCATTTTTTTCGTGTATTACTTTTTGTTATGTGATGTATGCACCAAATGTATGTGATGCACCTTATATAAACTTCTAGTATCAAATTTCTTCCAAGCTCTAGAGTCAAGCGTAGAGTGAAGCGTTCCATTACTTGTATTTTTTATAACATAAATATTGTGATGCGAAATGATTGTGTAACCTTTCTTTCTCTATATATCTCTCTCTCCGTATACTTCAGTGCTCTCTCCTCCTCCTCCTCGAACAACGGCGGGGCGTGGAACTTCGAACTTCATTCTGAACGTTTAAATGCTTGCCTTTATTGTACTTTTCAAGCAGTTGAAAGCATAAGGGTACAAGATGGTAAGAGAAAATATATATTTATTCGAAAAGTGTTAAATTGTTATTATTAATTAGATAAAAGTGTCAGTTGTGATGACATGTCCCCAGTAGCTCAGTTGGTAGAGCATGGCGCTTGCAACGCCAGGGTTGTGGGTTCGTTTCCCACGGGGGGCCAGTATGAAAATGTATGCACGCACTGGATAAGAGCGTCTGCTAAATGACTAAAATGTCCAAAAAAAAATGTTTTATTCAATTTCTAATTTCACATTCCAAGATTTATGAGCTATTGAAATAATGATCTTTAACGTTATGCTGATGTGTAATGTTTTGTATCTATTTAGACTACCTACACAGACAGAGGTGAAAAGGTAAGCCCTTCAATTAATACTCTTTGTCAATAGACATTTTATTGAGTCTGCTAAATGGCATATTATTATTATTATTATTATTGAACACACAATTATGTTTTAATGGATATGTCTTTTAACTAGTTCAAAGTATGATTCAAAAGTTGAGAAACGTAAAAAATGCTATAAATATTTTTTACTATCCTACCAATATGTTTCAATATGCATAATCTTTCTCTTACATCTAAGAATTTGTAATTGCTATCATAAATTAATGGACTGATGTATGCTAGATATATTCCCCTCAAATACTGGTATTAAAATGTTCTGGTTTTGTTCGAAGCACGACCATGGCAAGTTCATCTGTTTCGACCACATCACATTCTGGGTTGGAAATGCCAAACAGGTATGAGAATCATGTGCCTTGACGGCTGTTTTTCAAATGTTTTGCATCTTGTTAAATTTTTCCTGAACTTTCTTAAAGTTAGAGGAGTATTCACTGAGGGGATGGCTATTGGCTCTTTTAAGGGGTGGGGGGCAATAGGCATTAAACCTCAGAGTAGACCCGACCTCTAATTTGATCCAGAAACTGGAGCTTTTCCACTCCATCACCAGGAGGTGGCGCTACCACCACACCAGTCCTTTACAGTACACAACACACTGCATAGAAACTGTATTAAGGTTTTGTGCCTAAACAGTAAATGTACAAGTGTTTGAGTGGCAATTGGGTTTTTTCTTCTGTTTCAACAGGCAGCATCTTACTATTGTAACAAGCTTGGATTTGAACCATTGGCCTACCAGGGTTTAGAGACAGGCTGCCGTGATGTGGTGTCCCATGTGGTCAAACAAGGCAAGGTGAGCAGAGCATTGCAGCATTCTGAATGAATTATGGAACATGTTTATAATAGATCGTAACTTGATACAAGTGATGGAAGCTCCGTAGTTGTCCATCATGTAACTTTTGGGCTTATTGTCTTTCACAGATTATTTATGTATTCGCGTCCGCCCTCAATCCTGGAAACAAAGGTACAGTATGACAAAAAAACATGACAAAAAAGTCACCCTTCATATGGTTAAATTGTGCTACTTCACTCACTCTGATTTGAATATACTATACTTTTGTCCCTCTCCCTTATTCAGAAATGGGGGAGCATTTGGTGAAGCATGGGGATGGAGCCAGGGACATTGCATTCACTGTGGAGAACTGTGATTACCTTGTGCAGGTACCAAAGCATGCTTGCTATTTAAACCAATATATCAGCTTTTTTCTGGAATGAGGAGAATGCTTCTTTCCTAATGAGATGGGTTGAAAATATAATTTTGGATTGCAATCTTTATCTTGGATTTATTGAAAAGATGCATAGCCATGGGATGATTATTTTAATCTTCCTGGATCTTTATCACATATGCATATGTTTATCTGTCTATTATACTCTTTAGAAAGCCAGAGAGCGTGGTGCCATCATAGTGAAAGAGCCGTATGTACTGGAGGACAAATATGGCAGGGTAAAGCTAGCTGTTCTCCAGACGGTAAGTCAGTCAATATCTCTTGAAACTGAGTGTAGGAAAGTAGATTTACAGTATGCTCTAAATTTGGGATTTCTCTTATATCACTATAGTATGGTGACACCACACACACATTTGTGGAGAGGACAGCCTACAACGGGCTTTTCCTCCCAGGGTTCCATCCTCCTCTCCACCGGGACCCATTGTTGGCCAAGCTGTGAGTATGAACAATTTTACCTAGTGTTAAAGATGAGAGTAACTTTTATAGATCATTGTAAATGAGACAGAGTTTGAATGACTGTTTCAGTTAAGCAGTTGGCATCACTGTGAAGCCTTATCTAACATTACAGACCCAATGGATTACTGAACTTCATTGACCATGTTGTGGGGAACCAGCCGGATGATGAGATGGTGCCTGTGGTGGAATGGTAAGGCATTGTCTAGGCCTAGCTTAGGGCATTTACAACATTTACATTTTAGTCATTTAGCAGATGCTGTTATCCAGAGTGACTTACACGAGCAATTAGGGTTAAGTGCCTTGCTCCAGGGCACAACAGAAGTTTCACCTAGTCAGGGATTTGTACCAGTGACCTTTCGGTTACTGGCCCAACGCTCTTAACCGCTAGGCTACCTACCGCCCTATTATCACACACCCTGGCCTGTACATTTAGTTCCAGACAAAAACATAAATGGATATCAGAGTTTCCTCTTAGATGAAAACAACTCTACCACACACTAATTGCAGTATAAAAAAACAGCAACCTATAGCCACCATTTTAGGGTTCATTTGACATTCTCTAGAATGTTTTCCGTCCAATGCAAGTGAAGCCAAGTTGACTACTCCTCATGGTTCTGCATGCAGCTGTGGTTAGGTGGATGGATAGATGGGTGGATGGGGAGGTGTCAGTATTACGTAACCCAGGCTGTTTGGCATAGGCCAGGCGCTACTATGACTTAGCAGTTTTTGAGCTGGGTCCCTGGGGTTCCCCACATCTGGAGTCAGTTAGAGCTCCACCATGCAGCTCTGAGATGAAAAACAGGGATGGGTTTGATCTCTAAAGGGAAGGGCCAGGGAAGAGGGCTGTGGGATAGATATAGTGTAGTCTCTCACCTATCCATTCAACCTACAAGGGTTCCTGAGTAGTAGGTTCTGTTTCCATAGGTACCAGAAGAACCTGCTCTTCCACCGGTTCTGGTCGGTGGATGACAAGCAGCTGCAGACAGATTTCAGTGCACTGCGCTCCATCGTTGTGGCCAATTATGAAGAGACGGTGAAGATGCCCATTAATGAGCCAGCCATTGGAAAACGCAAGTCCCAGATCCAGGCAAGTCATACGCCTTGTTATTCAATATATCATGTATTAAGTATGTCAAGAGGTGTTTACTAACGTAAAAAAGACATACCAATGTCCTCCATACACATATTCATTACTATATCTTTAAGAAATATAGCATTACAAAAAAAGTGTAGAGCTTGTACCTAGCTAAACTCACTGAACTTTACAGGAGTATGTGGAATACTACGGTGGCCCAGGTGTCCAGCACATCGCCATGAACACATCAGACATCATCACCGCAGTAAGTCTTTTCACAAATAAAAGCTCAACCTGGTCAATATTATATACACATCAATGGAAGATGAAAGCTTTGTGTGGTTAATGTATTCTCCTTGTTGTAGATCCGTAACCTGAAGGAGCGTGGCATGGAGTTCATGTGTGTGCCAGACACCTACTACCAGCTGCTGAGAAAGAATCTCCAACACTCCCAAGTCAGGATCACTGAGGACCTGGACATTCTGGAGGTCAGTTAAATGCATAATGATGGTAATTATAGTCAGTTAATTTGAACTTCCATGCTCGGTTCTTAGCTATTCAGCCTGATAAGCACTTTTATGTCCTGACAGGAGCTGAAGATCTTAGTGGATTTTGATGACAAAGGCTACCTACTCCAGATCTTCACCAAGCCTGTTCAGGACCGTCCCACGGTGTTCCTGGAGGTCATTCAGAGACACAACCATCAGGTGAGAGTAGCATGAGATATTAGAGAGCATTACCAATAAAACTATATAAAACCATTATCATTTTAGGAATATGAGCTTTCCTAGTTTATTGAAAAATCAATTTACAGTATGTAATGATGATAAATATGGATGTGCAGATCTATATTTGGACTGAAAATGTCTTTGTACTCTTCCCAGGGCTTTGGTGCAGGCAACTTCAAGGCGCTTTTCGAAGCCATCGAGGCAGACCAGAATGCTAGAGGGAACTTGACTATCCTGACCGCTAATGGTGTGTCTAACCATATTTGAAGTGCCCCTCTGATTTACACAATTTATATAATGTCCATCATAGCTAAAGCTTGCAAATAAATTTGTTCAATGATATAGGAGAGCTGTATCTACAGTATGTACACACTATATATAATATGCAATTATGATTGACATGGCTTGTGGAGTCAAACATAAGGAATGATTGTTAATTATTAGAATAATATAGTGATGCTAAAAGAACATACTAAATATATTTTACTTGATGCCAAATGTTCTATTTGTTTTTGTGACTGATCAGAATCAGATATGTTGATGTACAATACAGAGCAACAGCAACAGAGCAGACATCATTATACAATTTGAGCCAGCTATATAATCTGGCATTAACTGGCCTCTGTAGTCTTAGCTTTATATTGTATTATTTGCTTTATTTCTGAAGAAAAAAATGCATATTTAATTGAAAGGAGGTAAAAAACCACAACCTAACCAGGAGGGAGGTAAAAAACCACAACCTAACCAGGAGGGAGGTAAAAAACCACAACCTAACCAGGAGGGAGGTAATAAACCACAACCTAACCAGGAGGGAGGTAATAAACCACAACCTAACCAGGAGGGGGGTAAAAAACCACAACCTAACCAGGAGGGAGGTAATAAACCACAACCTAACCAGGAGGGAGGTAATAAACCACAACCTAACCAGGAGGGGGGTAAAAACCACAACCTAACCAGGAGGGAGGTAATAAACCACAACCTAACCAGGAGGGAGGTAAAAAACCACAACCTAACCAGGAGGGAGGTAAAAAACCACAACCTAACCAGGAGGGAGGTAATAAACCACAACCTAACCAGGAGGGAGGTAAAAAACCACAACCTAACCAGGAGGGGGGTAAAAAACCACAACCTAACCAGGAGGGAGGTAAAAAACCACAACCTAACCAGGAGGGGGGTAAAAAACCACAACCTAACCAGGAGGGGGGTAAAAAACCACAACCTAACCAGGAGGGAGGTAATAAACCACAACCTAACCAGGAGGGGGGTAAAAAACCACAACCTAACCAGGAGGGAGGTAATAAACCACAACCTAACCAGGAGGGGGGTAAAAAACCACAACCTAACCAGGAGGGAGGTAATAAACCACAACCTAACCAGGAGGGAGGTAATAAACCACAACCTAACCAGGAGGGAGGTAAAAAACCACAACCTAACCAGGAGGGGGGTAAAAAACCACAACCTAACCAGGAGGAGGGTAAAAAACCACAACCTAACCAGGAGGGAGGTAATAAACCACAACCTAACCAGGAGGGGGGTAAAAAAACACAACCTAACCAGGAGGGGGGTAAAAAACCACAACCTAACCAGGAGGGAGGTAAAAAACCACAACCTAACCAGGAGGGGGGTAAAAAACCACAACCTAACCAGGAGGGGGGTAAAAAACCACAGCCTAACCAGGAGGGAGGTAATAAACCACAACCTAACCAGGAGGGAGGTAATAAACCACAACCTAACCAGGAGGGAGGTAATAAACCACAACCTAACCAGGAGGGAGGTAATAAACCACAACCTAACCAGGAGGGAGGTAATAAATCACAACCTAACCAGGAGGGAGGTAATAAACCACAACCTAACCAGGAGGGAGGTAATAAACCACAACCTAACCAGGAGGGAGGTAAAAAACCACAACCTAACCAGGAGGGAGGTAATAAACCACAACCTAACCAGGAGGGAGGTAATAAACCACAACTCAGAATGATGCATAATAAGAACACACAAAATGTCAGTTTTATTGTATCCTTTCCATTAACTGAAAAGCCATATTTACCCATTATTTGTTCATTTTCATTGCCGCAATTGCGTTCATAACCTTTTTTTTTTTTTTCGCTTCAAATGGTTACTTTTAGCATTCATTTTTAAGAGCATGTAATAAAACAATACAACTGCATTGTGACTCTTTCATCATTCACAGTGTTTGTGTGTGAGAGAGAACTTATCAAAAATACATAATTAACCAAATAAATTATAAATATACAGTTCCACTCTGTCTTAAAATATAACAACCTGAGAAAACAATTACCATCCGAACCTAGTAAAAGGCTTGACACAAACTGAATACATCACCATTAGCGCTCATGTACACAGAACTCATCATGTACATACACTGCTAGAAAAAATAAAGGGAACACTTAAACAACACAATGTAACTCCAAGTCAATCACACTTCTGTGAAATCAAACTGTCCACTTAGGAAGCAACACTGATTGACAATACATTTCACATGCTGTTGTGCAAATGGAATAGACAACAGGTGGAAATTATAGGCAAGACACCCCCAATAAAGAAGTGGTTCTGCAGGTGGTGACCACAGACCACTTCTCAGTTCCTATGCTTCCTGGCTGATGTTTTGGTCACTTTTGAATGCTGGCGGTGCTTTCACTCTAGTGGTAGCATCAGACGGAGTCTACAACCCACACAAGTGGCTCAGGTAGTGCAGCTCATCCAGGATGGCACATCAATGCGAGCTGTGGCAAGAAGGTTTGCTGTGTCTGTCAGCGTAGTGTTCAGAGCATGGAGGCGCTACCAGGAGACAGGCCAGTACATCAGGAGACGTGGAGGAGGCCGTAGGAGGGCAACAACCCAGCAGCAGGACCGCTACCTCCGCCTTTGTGCAAGGAGGAGCAGGAGGAGCACTGCCAGAGCCCTGCAAAATGACCTCCAGCAGGCCACAAATGTGCATGTGTCTGCTCAAACGGTCAGAAACAGACTCCATGAGGGTGGTATGAGGGCCCGACGTCCACAGGTGGGGGTTGTGCTTACAGCCCAACACCGTGCAGGACGTTTGGCATTTGCCAGAGAATACCAAGATTGGCAAATTCGCCACTGGCGCCCTGTGCTCTTCACAGATGAAAGCAGGTTCACACTGAGCACATGTGACAGACGTGACAGAGTCTGGAGACGCCGTGGAGAATGTTCTGCTGCCTGCAACGTCCTCCAGCATGACCGGTTTGGCGGTGGGTCAGTCATGGTGTGGGGTGGCATTTCTTTGGGGGGCTGCACAGCCCTCCATGTGCTCGCCAGAGGTAGCCTGACTGCCATTAGGTACCGAGATGAGATCCTCAGACCCCTTGTGAGACCATATGCTGGTGCGGTTGGCCCTGGGTTCCTCCTAATGCAAGACAATGCTAGACCTCATGTGGCTGGAGTGTGTCAGCAGTTCCTGCAAGAGGAAGGCATTGATGCTATGGACTGGCCCGCCCGTTCCCCAGACCTGAATCCAATTGAGCACATCTGGGACATCATGTCTCGCTCCATCCACCAACGCCACGTTGCACCACAGACTGTCCAGGAGTTGGCAGATGCTTTAGTCCAGATCTGGGAGGAGATCCCTCAGGAGACCATCCGCCACCTCATCAGGAGCATGCCCAGGCGTTGTAGGGAGGTCATACAGGCACGTGGAGGCCACACACACTACTGAGCCTCATTTTGACTTGTTTTAAGGACATTACATCAAAGTTGGATCAGCCTGTAGTGTGGTTTTCCACTTTCATTTTGAGGGTGACTCCAAATCCAGACCTCCATGGGTTGATAAATTTGATTTTCATTGATAATTTTTGTGTGATTTTGTTGTCAGCACATTCAACTATGTAAAGAAAAAAGTATTTAATAAGATTATGTCATTCATTCAGATCTAGGATGTGTTGTTTAAGTGTTCCCCTTAATTTTTTTGAGCAGTGTATTTGCACAAGAAACCACCTCTCCAGGTCAATGTATTTTCATACACCACCCGGTACTTTTAAGTGCTAAGGGAGAGGAAAACAGAGCCCGCCCCTGGTGCAGGAAATGCGTGTGGTTATGTCCGGAACAGTTTTAACAATAAGTCATTATTATTTTAAAGTTTGCATTTTTAATCGCTTGTTATAGCGCCACCATGTAGCCAATTGGCATGCCATTCCATGAGAGGGTGTGGCCCTTGGCCCTTTACCATCATGCAAGGTTGCAATCTCCTAGGCCTCACCATCTCACGGGAATTGGCTTTTTTCCGCTGCTTGAACCCCTAATAACTGTTGTGACCCCATTAGTGTATCAGTTTCCCACCCCAGTGACAGTATGTTAATAACAGCTCTGTAGTGAAGGATATGAGGGGGACCCAGAGAGTGTCACTGAGCCAGCTGAAGCCATTGTCCTGCTGTAGCAGCCTGTCATAGGTGACCTGCTGTAGCAGCCTGTCATAGGTGTCCTGCTGTAGCAGCCTGTCATAGGTGTCCTGCTGTAGCAGCCTGTCATAGGTGTCCTGCTGTAGCAGCCTGTCATAGGTGTCCTGCTGTAGCAGCCTTTCATAGTTTACCTGCTGTAGCAGCCTGTCATAGGTGCTACAGCACCTTTCTCCCGAGTGGCGCAGTGGTCTAAGGCACTGCATCGCAGTGCTAGCTGTGCCACTAGAGATCCTGGTTCGAATCCAGGCTCTGTCGTAGCCGGCCGTGACCGGGAGACCCATGGGGCGGCGCACAATTGGCCCAGCGTCGTCCAAGGTAGGGGAGGGAATGGCCGGCAGGGATGTAGCTCAGTTGGTAGAGCATGGCGTTTGCAACGTCAGGGTTGTGGGTTCGATTCCCACGGGGGGCCAGTATGAAATTTAAAAAAATGTATGCACTCACTAACTGTAAGTCGCTCTGGATAAGAGCGTCTGCTAAATTACTAAAATGTAAATGTAAAATGATAGGTGTCCTGCTGTAGCAGCCTGTCATAGGTAACCTGCAGCAGCTTGGCGTCCCGCTCATCCCTCCCTCCAGACACTGTGGAGGACAGCCAACTCCTCATGGTGAGACCGATGACAGAGGCAGGGACTGGCCGAGGAGACGGGAGGGCGTGGCTCTCTGCAGTGACCTCATCCTTTGCCATCGCCTCTTCTTCCACCTCATTCTCCATTGTACCCTCCTCCAGGAGCACTTCTCCATCTCTCTCTGGTTCTCCACATCTACCAGCCCTGGCCGGTTCTCCAGGCCATGCAAGGACATCTTCCTGTGGGACCCAGGATTAGGATTAAGCCAAACACCCCCATGGCTAGGAGTCTCTGCTGATGACTCAGACAGGCTGCTAGGAGAGGAAGCTAGAATAAAGGAGCACCAATAAAGGAGCACCATTTGTCTTCTGTAATCAATTGAATTTACAACAGGTGGTCTCCAATCAAGTTGTAGAAACATCTTAAGGATGATCAATGGAAACAGGCTGCACATGAGATCAATTTCGAGTCTCATAGCAAAGGGTCTGAATACCTATGTAAATAAGGTATTTCAGTTTTTTTGTCATGAATCCCGCTTCCTGAGTCTGTTTCTGCCTGTGTTGCCTGTTTTCTGTTCTGGAGTCTGTTTCCTGAGGTTCCTGAACGCACCCTGTCTGGTTCCCAGGCAACGAAGCTAGGCGGGAGATCTCTCTATTACCCGCACCTGCATCTCATCAGCTATCTGCACACCTGGTCCTGATCATCACCTCTCCACTTCATAAGCTCTGACCTGACATCCATTCCCTGCCGGATCGTT